AAAAAAAGGTAACACGGCCTACTCAGTTTTTATCAAAGCTTTCAACCCTAAAATTGTTAGTTGCATTTCAATAAAGAACTTTCACATAATTTGTGTGTTAATTTTTTTCTAGGGAGGGACTTTAAAGGTCTATAGATCTGTATGTGAAAAAATGAATTACAATAAGATTAAAAGAAGAATCACAAAACCATAGCACGTATTTGCAATTACAAAGTTCTCTATAAACTGGCGTAAATTTCTCTACCCAATAACCATACTCCTCAAACCATGTTAAATGAATTCTTATTTTGCTGTGGTGGGGGTGGGCAAGTATCTCATGCAATAATCTTAATTGATGCTTCAACATCAATCAAGGAAGTACCAAAATTAAGAATCAAAGGTGTATAGTATTTCTTCGATTCCCCATCAAGATTGTCCATACATAGTTTAAATTAGAGTCAGGAAAAGGGAGTAATAAAAATTGCTAACTTTCTCTGCAAAATGAGGAGCTACGAATGCGCCATCAATCCATGAATTGAAGTTGTCCAACAATCAAATATTGAAAACAAATAATAACTGAGGAGCCAATCTGTGACGCCCCTAAAATCGGGGGTCCCGTTGACGACCCGCCAACCCGCGAAAATGCCCATGAATGCCGCTTAATCCGATATTACCGTGTCTGTTTTGTCATTTAATACAACTGTGGCTCAAAATACCACAACTCATACCTATTTATTGTCCAATTACATCTTTGGAACCAAACGAATCAAAGGCCGAGAGCACAACACTTTAGTTTTAAAATTTCAAATTTTAGGAAATAGTATCGGTACTGTGTACCGGTACGGTTTGCCTTCTGGACCGATAGTACCGGTACTCAATACCGGTACACTTTTCTTTCTAGACATATAGTACCGGTACACAATACCGGTACTCTCTGCCCTCTGGACAAATTGTACCGGTACACTTTGCCCTCCTTTGCTTGTTTTGCCTATTTTTCATTTTAAAACCATTCCAAACCATCTCATTTTCATCCATAACATATATAATGAAGTTTTCTACATAAAACCTCATTTACATAAGTCAATTACAATTTATTTACATAAATTTACATGCCCAAAACATGCTTTTATCAAAGCATTACAACATTCAAGGTTAAAGGCCACAAGTCGGCCTATCTTCACCCTTGAGGCCCTGAATGCGAGTCCTCCACTGGCACGAACCCCGCACCTAAAATGTGTTCCCGTATAGGGTGAGCTATGCCCAGTAGAGTTTTCCTACAGAAGCTACTCCCCACCTAAATGCATATGCAATGTTTACATTCAACAACCGCAATCATAAATCCATTTCATACAAGCACATGTTATTCAAAATGAAATTTCTATCATGCCATGTCATGATATGAGGTGAGACTCACTCATGCTTTTTCACCCAAGTCTACTCCGACTCCCACAACACAATGCAATGCATGTGTGTAAAACATTTGTCCTTAATGAAATACATCCAAAGACCATTTTGAAATAAAATCATGTGTTCATAAAACCAATTCATTTCTGGATGTTTCCCATCAAATAAATCATTTATATAACAAAATCATGTGTCTTTGCTGGGTATCGGATTTTGGAATCACACCGCTGGCTCCGTACGCCATTACACTTTTTCAGAATTTTACCTCAAGGGAGTGTATAAACCAAGTATCCGAGCCTTTCACCCGAGGGAGTGTCTAGCCCTTCTTGCTATATCCGACACAAGTTTTTCTTTCATACAACCATGCGACTCAGTCAGATTTTTAATCCAACTTTTCTCGAGCCAATCACCAATCACCAAGTATGATGATTGATCCAACCATGCACACACACACCCATACTCATGGTCATGGATGTATTTTCCCTGTGCAATATGTAATGTAATGCATCATTGCAATGTCAATGTAATGGCCAATATGCAAGGAATGCTAATGAGCAATTTAACCACATATCTCGACATATGTCAGCAATTTATATCATAAGCATATAATTATCATTCTCTATCATAATGTTAACATACCAATGAACTTATACCAACATTTATATCCAATTAATTCACAAGTATGCTACCACATAATCCATGTCAATAACACACTTAAATCACCAAGGCATATTATAAACATATAGCATGCCCACATAAAACCCAATTTCATGGAATTTCACAAGTACTTCCATATAACCAAATCAAGCTAGAAATTGGTCTAGGCCATTGCTATACCCTTTTTTTTCAAATTTTCATGTCTATAGGTAAGTCATAAGTCATCCCACACATATACCTATTACATATGGACACCATAGGATAGAAATTAGTCCAAAGTAAGAGGAAACCCTACCTCTTGGAGCGTGAGATGAAGTGTGGGGAACCTCAAGAACACTTCCAAGCCCCAAAACTCTTAATTTCACAAAATATCCTCTTTGGATCTTTGGTGAAATCCTTCGTTCTTGGTACGTACGCGTAACCCTCGTCGCATAGACCAACTTTAATTCTTGGTCCAAGTGATTCCGACTGACAGAACATCGTGGATCGGAGGAGAAAGCCTTGAAAAATAAGTTTTCTCTCTTCTCTCTCTTTCCTCTCTTCAAAGTCTGATTTAGCTGGCCAAAAGGGGTGACAATGTCTGATTTTTCAGATATTTAGCCCCTATTTATACCTTTTAATTGCGCGGTCCACATTGCTCCGCACGTTTGTTACTTTCGGGTCCATTTTTAACCAGGAACGACTCATTTCATCCTGGTTTAAGTGCAAATTAATTTTATTTGAACTTTTATCTAATTATAAGAAAATTTTATAAATTCCATTTTTGGGAACCTTTGTGACGTCATTCATCATGCAATTGTCTCGTAAAACGTGCATAATCTGACTATCTCAGAATTCGACGAAAATTGACATGGCAGCTTGATTTCATGATACGATTCCAATGGTGAGGTCCATTGCATCATTTGAGCTCTAGAAAAATACTAATTTTAAACCCACATTATAGTGGCAAATTACTATTTTGCCCTTTTTTCGAAAAAGTTCAAATTTACCTGGGTTTTACACAATCAATGGTGCAAAGAATGATCAAGCATGTGCTTTGAGCTTGCTTGATGGGAAATTCTTGTTAATTTCGAAGTTAGAATTCTCTTGAGATTAGATGCATATCAACTTACAAAACTTTAACCGATTCAAAAAATGGCATGGAAACTTGGACAACAACTGCCAAAAAAACTTATCTTTAGTTTTTGCCATCAGAATAACGTAAGATCTATCTAAAGGTGTGAAGAAAATAAGAGCCATCACGACCATATCTTGAAGGCATGGGGAATTCTTTCAAATTTTTTTTTGGTCGGAAGGGAGAGAAAAAAAAATGAGCCAAGGTCAAGAAAGAATAATTCAAAAAAAAAAGAAGAAGAACGAAAGGAAAAAATAAACATAGAGAGAAAAAAGTTTTATCTGCAAGTTGTTCACCAGCAAAATGATTCACCCCTCTTTCATGCATGGCCTAATTGCTCAAGGTATCACATGTGTGCAGTACGTCATAAGGAAAGCTGTTCTATGTATTGTCATAAATAAATCCATGTAGATGTATGATTCATGCAATGAAAAATAGTATAAATAGAAATTCCAAAGACATATTGGGCCCATTTGGAGTTGACTTTTTTTTATGCAAACTAGAGATTTGAAAAGTGAAATGAAAAACTGCTTGCCTCCTTCAAAGATGCTTTCTTAGCCGGAAGAAAAAACCATTAAACCGAAATCGGCGTTAAGCAACATGTAAAACCAACAAAAAGGAATATAAAGGTTGAAAGTAATAGTTTCAACTAGATTGACATCAAAATGCTAAGTTCAAATACAAGAACAAACCATATGATATAAGCTTTGAAAATGAAATGGAAATTTCACCCATTGTCTTCTTCGAAGCTCAGTAACACTCTCACAATTTACAACTAAAACTAAGACTCTCAGCTAAGAAAAAATTTCTCTCATGTATATAAAAGTGTAGGTATATACAACATCTTCTTCCTCCTCATTGGACATGGTGTGTGGGGCGGGTGGTGGATGTTTTTTCTAAAGAAGCTTCCTTCACCAATATCGTCTAATAGGAATGCTCAAGTGAAGCTTGGGAGGTGCACTTATCTAATCAAAATCAATCCATGGGGATTGGTAGCCTTCCTCTTGAGTGTGCGAGTCAATAATGTAACCCCACGTGAACGAGTGAATGCTTGGGACTTGTGTGACTTAGTTATGTGTGTTTATTAACCAGTACAAAGTATTAAAGAACTGGTACAATACATCTCTGATGACTTCTATAAAACTTCTGAAACTTGATGAACCAATACAAAGGTTTGATGTACTGATACAACAGTTTTCTGAAAAAATTTTGTACTTGATGAACCGGTACATGGTTTGATGTACATGTACAACCCCTTTCTATGGCCCAATGTGCCAGTACAAGTTGGACCAGTACAGCAACCCTTTCCTATTTCTTCTGTTGTTGCTTCTTAGTTAATCTCCTCTTCTTCTTTAATCTTCCTTATGCAATCCAATCAACTGTAATTCATTCCTTCTCCGCCTCTTTGTACGTACAACACATAATTCTCATCATCAACCAAAATCTTGACATAATTTGGACAGATAAACACCCAACAAATGCATAAACTGGATGGATTAAATCACAAAATATACAATATTATGTTCTCAACATACCCACCAACTTAAGTTTTGGTGGTCCCTAGCAAACCAATCATAGAAAACATGCATCCATCCATTCATCAATCCCACACACAATTAAACTAACCATACATAACCCTTACGCAACAAACTCATAACAAAGATTTTAAACTCACATTGAAATCGACAGATACTGATATATACATCAAATTTTAGGGGGTACAAAAGATCAAAATGTAACAGCCTTAGGAAGAAAACTAAAGGTTTCCTATCCTAAGCTATTACAATCCCAACTAAAAATTTTATGAAAAACAACAAAAACTAGACAATGGCTTAAACCTAGCAGATTAATCAAAGGCACCCTCATCCTTTAAACCAGATTCAACATCGTCGTCCTCCTCAGCCTCACTACTCCCTATCTCCTGGATAGTATCCCTCAACTTAGAAACAAAAATAGGAGGTGGCTTCGATGTAGAAGGTGTAGCAGGTGTAGAGGTGGGAGTAGTAGCTAATGTGGAGGGTGGAAAGAATCCTGGTAGTATCCCATCGAGGGCAAGAACCTCAAATAATTGGCGCTATATCCCAAGAGAAAACTCAAAGTCCCTAGCCTTCCTACCATATATTTGCCTCATATTATAAATATCATACTCCAGGCCACCCATTCTCTTCTCTAGCCGGGTCACTCTCTGTGGAACGGTGACTATAGAGACCGATGGAGGACGAGCAGTTGCAGCAGTCGATGTTGCTGGCTAATGTGAAGACCTAATCATTCTTGGAGCTCTCGACATAGTGAAACTCTTCCTCTCCCCCTAACTAGTCCTGAATATTGCATATTTATCCTATCATTTGTGGGTTAATTGTCATGAGTTTGGAATTAATTGTATGAGATTAATGCTATATTTAATTTTATCACGATTTAATTAGTTTTTGTCTATTTTGAAAGTAAAATGTCAAGATAAGAAGGTAAAAATACAAGCAGGGGAGTGGATGACACAAAGGAAAGAAGAGCATTGAAGAATAGAGCTCTAAAGACGACGTCCAGACGTTATATGTCCAAGTCCGGATGTGAAGTTCTGCATTAGAGGAAAAAAATACAAGACTCTCAGCCTTTCATGTACGGATACCATAATACTCCCGTACAAAAGCATGTAGATCCAAGAATCACATCCGGATGTCATTATATCCATCTCCGGATACTTGTCCTTACTCCCAGCCAATCAAAGAAGCTCAATGACACAAGCTTGGGTCCTCTTCCCCAATTTGGAAAAATACTATGTACTTCTTTTTTCTGGGTTTTGAAAGCTTTTCCAGATCTGGAAGCATTTTTATTATTTTTCTTCATTAATTCTTGTTTAATTTTGTGTCTATGGTTAGCTAATCTATGGTACTAAGGCTAGGACAAAATTCAATAGACTTGGGTATGTAATTAATTCTATGTGCTTCAATTGATATTTTCTTTGATGGTTCAATTCATCATATTTTAGCAAAGCTTTCTCTCTATATGTTCTCTTGAATTACTATGCTAAATGTGATGGAAACTTGAGATTCTCTATTGGTAGAATAGCTAGATTTACATGCTTGGATTGAATTGGTAATGTTTACATCTAATTTGTTGATTTGTTGATTTATATGAGTTAGGATATTTGATTGGTTAATTGCTTAATTTATCATTGACTTCAGGCATGTTGAATGCTTGCAATTAACAATTGGATGTTTAGATTAACTGATTGTTTATACTTTAGAGAATTTGCTAATTAATCATTGCCAAATCCTCCAATTTGGTTCACTTCCTAGCTGACTCTTAATTGAGATTGAAAATTAGGATTAATTCACTACCCAAGTGATATTGAAATAGTACACAAATGCCTTAGTATTTCTCCACATTACTTTTTAAAACAATTTTAGTTTATATTTTTAAAATTTCAATTATCAAATCATTCTTTCAAACAAAATATATTTCTTTTATTAATTATTTTTCACTCTAAAATCTCCATCTCCCTATGGACCAACCTTGGACTCTACTAAGAAATTACTACTTGCTTGAAACCTAAACTTGGGTTTACAACTTCCAAATCGAAGCACCCCCCCCCCCAAACTACTAATAGCCCCTTTTCTAGAAGACTCACCTAATCTGCCTAAGTCTTCCGCACACTAGCCATTCCACATATCATTGTAACCATGCATGCAAAAGGCATATTCCTCTTTGGTCTAATTTCAGACACGTACTTCTTCATTACTCGCCATATGAATAAAGTAATATCAATCCTCCAACCCACGATAAACTCATGTAGGAAAATGATCTTAGGTAGGCTAGGCTTCTTCTCATTTCCATTGGGGTACACATCATACATAATCTCAGCATACTCACTCAGAATCTTAGCAGCAAACACCGGGTAGGGGTTGTGGCGCCCCTAAAACCGGGGGTCCCGTTGATGACCCGTTAACCAGCGGAAAGACCCATGAGTGCCTCTTGATTCGACATCACGCTAATATTGTTCCATTATCCGGAATTTTAACTCACACATGTAACCCATGTTCCTTTAATCATTTAATCCAACCAAGGTCCAATATATCTTGTCTAATGTTCATTTGTATCATTGGAACAAAGGAAAACAAAGTCCAAAAACATGGCACCTTAGTGTTAAAATTTCAAAGTTTTGGAGACAGTACCGGTACTGTGCACCGGTACTGTTTGTTCATTGGCCCCTGGCAGTACCGGTACTGTTTGTTCATTGGCCCCTGGCAGTACCGGTACTGTTTGCCTTCCAAATGTTTTTCAAATTTTTGGAAAGAGTACTCGTACTATGCACCGGTACTCTCTGCCCAATTTAGCCTATTTTCACCGTTTTTCCTTTCAAAACCATTTCAATCCATCCCAACACCATCTAAAACATGTCTAACAATGTTCATCACATAAAACTTGATCTGTACAAGTTCTATTACAATCCAATTGCACGATCTCATACTCAACACTGTAATTTTTTAAGTTTATACAAAATATATTACAAAATGGAATTTAACTAGAGTTTCACAAAAACTCGTTTTCAAATGCCATTGTAAAACTTGAGAAAATTTTTTTTTTTTCTTTTTTTTTGGAAAAAGGGCAAAATGATAATTGCCACTATAATGCGGGTTTAAAAGTTATATTTTTCCAGAGCTTGGATGATGCAATGGAGCTCACCGTTGGATTCGTATCGTGAAATTGAGTTGTCCTGTCAATTTTCGTTGAATTCCAAGATAGACGGATTTTGCACATTTTACGAGACAATTGGGTGACGAATGACCTTTCAAAGGTCCCCAAAAATAAATTTATAAAATTTCCTAATAATTGAATAAAATTTTAAATAAATTTAATTTGAACCTAATCCGAGATATAATGAATCGTTTCGGGACGAAAAATGGATCCGAAAATCAAAATTATGCGGTGCAATTTGGACCATACATTAAGGGGGTATAAATAGGGACAAATATCTGAAAAATCAGATATTTTCTCACCTATTTTGAGTCTTATTTGGCCGGCTATAGAGAGGAAATAAAATAGAAGAAAAACTTCAAGTTCTTCAAGCTTTCTACCTCGGATCTTTGAAGTTCCGTCGCTCGGATCAACTCGGACCAAGAGCTAAAGTTTATCTCCTCGACGAGGGCTACGCGCACGTACCAAAAATAGTGGGTTTCACCGAAGATCCAAGAGGAGACTTTGGGAAAAATCAAAACTTTGAGGTTATTTTGGTGTTATAGAAGTTCTCTACACTTCTATTGAGGAAGGGTTTTTTTTACCTTGGTTTTATTCCTCTCCTTTGGGGCTGTTTTAGGGCTGGTTTAGGGGCGGAAACTACGGATTGTTATGGAATGTTTTGAGGTTGAAATGATGGACCATTTTGGGTTAAAATATGGACTGCTATGTGGATGTATTTTGGACTGAACTTGGGACTATTTTATGGCCTGTTTTGTGGCTGAAATTGCGCCTGTTTTATGGCCTATTTTGTGGCTGAAATATGGACTGTTGTATTGTTGAAATATGGACTATTTTGTGGCTGAAATTGCGACTGTTTTATGGCCTGTTATATGGCTGAAATGTGGGCTGTTATGTGACTGAACATGGACTGTTTTGGGGCTGTTTTAGGGGCCATTACACGGACTGTTTTGGGGCTATTTTAGGGCCTCTTTTGTGGCTGAATTTGGTGCTGTTTTATGGCCTATATAGGGGCTGTTTTGGTGACTTCTATAGGGGTCATTTTGTGGTTTATATAAGGGCCGTTATGTGGGCAACTACATGTGCGGTTTTGTGGTATATTGCACCTTTGTGATTAAGTGTGTTATTTACAAAAAGTTGTGATAACTTGCTTGGAATTGTGTTGTGAAATTGTGATATTAAAATTGTCAACGTATATACATGTTTGTGTTATATTGATATTGTGCATAATTATAGAAATTATATGCTTATGATATAATTTTGCCATGGGATATGTAAAATGTATTGATATTGTTCATATGTCTTTCATAGCATATTGAATATGTTATAAGTGTGCAATGGGACATCATATTGCATATGCACGACAACATCGCATCATGTAGGTGTGTGCATGGTTGTCGTCAACACCACACTTGGTGGATGACGAGTGGACTCGATTGAGCTTGGTCGAAGACTTGGCCGAGTCGCACAAGTTGCATAGTGATTAGGGTTGGGGTTAGCAAGGAGGGACTAGAAGATCCCTCTGGTGCAAGGCCCGGTGATTGGGATACGCACTCCCTTCGCTTGGCCCATAAAGTGTGTGGGTGTACGCGGAGCCCTTGGTGGAAGTCCATAAATTCCAAGTAGGTTGGAGACCCTTGGTGTAAACCCATGAACATCCACCCCATACAAAGGCCCTAGGTTGGTAAAAGTTATTTGATGTGCAACATAAATGCTAATTTCATACACATAGGCATTTGCATGTGTTGAGGAGCTGGGAAGGGCTCGGGTTGATTTGCATGAGTGAATCTCACCTCATTTCATGGCATGACATGATAAATTCCAACATTGAATGCATATTCTTACTTGGAATATTGATGTGAATATGAAATGTTGTATGTGAGCATTGCATGTGCACTTAGGTGGGGAGTAGCCTCTATATGAATTACTCTACTGGGCGTGGCTCACCCTATACGGAAAAATATTTCAGGTTCTGTATACACACCGGTGGACGGCCCTCACTTGAATCCTCAAGGGTGAAGAGAGGCCAGATTGTGGCCTTTAACCTTGATTTATGTAAAATTATGTTTTGGGCATGTAATGTGTAAAAGAATTGTAACTGAGTTTATATGGGCTATTTTAATATAACGATGCATCTGTTATTTGAGTATGGATAAATGGACCCGGTGTGATCAAGTTTTACTTATAAATGGACCCGGTGTGGTTATTGTGTTATATTGGGCCTCGGATGGGTCATGTTAATGTATATTCCACAGGTTTGTGTTTTTGGTAGAGCTCCCGTACAAAGGAAACTCTGCCTAAATTTTTGTTAAATTAAGGACCCCGAAGATGGCTTGAAG